TTTTTGCCTACTTTTTTCAATTCTTATATGCAATCATCAAATCAACCCTAGTATATAACCAGTGTACTATGTTTTTCCCAACTCAAAAAAACACTACTTTGGACTTACTTACCTAAAAGCTAAGGCTATTATTTTTCTTAGATTCTGAATCAAATATCACTTATCACTGTCACCTTGCACAGTCTGGGTGCTGGCTAGCTTGTCAACTTGACTACAGCTAGGGTCATCTGGGAAAAGAAAACTTTAATTGAGAAAATGCTCCTACAGGACTGGCCTCTGGGCAAGGCAATGGTGCATTTTCTTGATTGACGATTATAAGAAGGTCCAGCTCACTGCAGTGGTAGGACACTCTGGTGGGACAGACTACTTGTGCTAATCAGGCTCTGATGCGTAGACCAAATACCTAACTCCTCTACACTCTTAAGTAACCAGGTCAAATACTACATTCTCAGCATATCTTTTTCCCTCAAAGGTAATTTTCCTTGCAGATCATAAAATTTTAACTGTATTTCTTGAAAATGTTAAGAAACGTACTTACCTTTTGTTTAGTGTATTCCCCAAAGGCAGGGTCCATTTATACTATGCATTTTCCCAAAGCAACTAACAATAATCTTCTATGTGGAAAGAACTTAATGTGTATTTATCAAATGGGGGAGGGAGAGCTAAGAGTCGTGAATAAGGTTCTGTATTTTTTAGATTCTTTAACTGACAATGTGTTGTCCATATGTGAAAACTAAGTATTTTAGGTAGAGATTCCATTCTGTAAATCAGAACACTCATGTTGATTCCCTACCAATCTAGAAAAATGTAAGCTAAAATTTAATGATTTAATACCCCTTACAACACAAGAAATCCAGTCCTTCCTTCTCTCAACACATATACAGAAGGCATCATAAAGAAGCAGCTAGGCAGTGGTGGCCTTTAATCCCAGCACTGGGGAGGCAGAGGCAGGTGGATCTCTGAGTTTGAAAGCAGCCTGGTCTATAAAGTGAGTTCCAGGACTTCCTGGGCTGCTACACAAAGAAACCCTGTCTTGAAATCCCCCTCCCCCCAAGAAAGAAGGAAATAATAAACATTAGAGATACTGAAAACAGAAGCCAGATACATAGCCCCACAACTATGATTCCAGCATTTGGAGGGTAGAAGCAGGATTATGATATCAAGGTCATTCTTAGCTACAGACTACATGAGACCTTGTTGACCGACCGACCGACAGACACAGACAGACAGAAGTAGGTAGTTAGGTAAGTTAAAATTGAGTAAGGGGGGAAAAAATTCAAAGGGGGTTGTGTAGAAAGAAGAGTAATAGTATGTTTAGTGCTATCCTTATCAAAATAAAAGGCTATGAAAATACTATGAATAGTTACGTGCCAAATACTTAGTGTGGCTGAAATAAAATTGTCACAAAATACACAAGTAAAACTAACACAAGAAAGAGGAATTCTGAGTGATCTAAAACAAAGAGATCAACTCAGTAACCTGATAAAGGGTATCTTCTACGGAATATGGCTAACACTCATTCTAACAATAAAAACTACAAGCTTCTCTGTAAAACAAGCAATAGGACAAGGGTGCATGTGTGAGCCTGTCCATTCTATCTTACAGAGCTGGGAAGAGAAGGATTCTAGAGAGTGCCTAAATAACACTGACAAAATGTAACATTACTCAACTTAAAGATTAAAATATAGGTGAGCAAGAAAATGTATTCCTGGTATACACAACAGAGGAACTAGTGTATACTTATCAAAAGGCTGTAAGAAAGGAGTCTGCATAAGTGGATACTAGATATAAAGCAAAGGACAACCAGACTACAACCCACAGCTGCAGAGAAGCTAGCTAACAAGGAGAACCCGAAGAGGGGATGCATGGCTCATCCTGGGAAAGGGAAATAGATGAGATCTCCATGAATAAACCGGGGATGGGGGTGGGGGAATGGAGGGTAGGGGACGGAGGATGGTCGAGCTGGAACACGGACAGAGTGGGAGAGCAATGAAAGAGATGTCTTGATAGAGGGAGACATCATGAGGATAGAGAGAAACCAGGTGCTAGGGAAGTTCTCAGGAATCCACAAGGATAACCCCACCTTAGACTACTAGCAATAGTGAAGAGGGTTCCTGAACTGGTCTACCCCAGTAATCAGATAGATGAATACCCTAACTGTCATCATAGAGCCTTCATCCAGTTACCAATGGAAGCAGATGCAGAGATCCACAGCCAAGCACCAGGCCGAGCTCTGGGAGTCCAATCAGAGAGAAGAGGGATTCTGTGAGTAAAGGGCATCAAGATCATGATGGAGAAACTTAAGAGACAACCAAACCAAACCAGTAAGAACTCATGAACTGTGGACCAACAGCTGTGGAGCCTCCATGGGACAGGACTAGACCCTCTGCATGGGTGACACAGTTGTGAGGCTTGGTCTGCTTAAGGGGCCCCCTGGCAGTGGGATCAGGATCCATCCCTGAAGCTTGAGTGGGCTTTTTGGAGCTCATTACCTTATGGTGGGACACCTAGCACAGCCTTGATGCTGGGGGAGGAGCTTAACTTGCCTCAACTGAGTATGTCAGGCTCTACTGACTCCCCATAGGAGGCCTTGCCTTGGAGGAGATGGGAATGGAGAGTGGGTTGGGAGGGGGGGAAGATCAGGGGATGGGAGGAGGGAGGGGAGGGAGATCTGTGGTTGATGTATGTAAAACAAATAGAAAATTTCTTATTAAAATAAAAAAAGAAAGGAGTCTGAAAGTTTACATCAAAAACAAATATACACAAGTGCACATACCTACAATATATGTATGCACACATTCACAAAAACACAAACAGAAATACACACACACACACACACACACACACACACACACACACACACACACACACAAAAACCACCTTGGGAGCCAGGAAAGTGACTCAGTGGATAGAGGCATTTGGAGAATAAACCTAATAACCCAAATTTATCTCTAGAGCCTACATAAAGGTGGCTAGAAGGAAGCAACTCCACAAAGTTGACCTCTGATCTCTAATCCAGTGCCTCCCCATCACATCTACACACACACACACACACACACACACACACACACACACACACACACACACACACTTTTAGATAAAAAAGAAAACAAAACTGGTTAATGTCTGAGGAAGTATGTTTAACCTGACTTTCACATTAAACAATTAAAAAAAAACCTAAAGTTTCAAGTTTCTCCATTGGTAGGCACGTTTTTTTATCTGTAAGGTTTAAAGTACGTTTTTAGGAGAGAGAAAAAAAATCTATACTTGGAAAAAAGGAAAAACCATCAGAATAAATATCATTTATTGGCAATCAATCCTTCATTTGCCTTCACAACCAAGGGGGAGAAAGAGGTCCATTCACTTCTTTTCTGGGTAATACAGGATGGAGAATTCTCTCTCAACCTCAATTTGCTAAAACCCAAAATTTTAAAGAAAGTTCACATTTATGATATTAACCTGATGACATTTATTTACCTGCAGAGGAACAAAACAGTTTTCCCATCAAATTAACACAGCCCAGTGTTTCCTCAGTGCACAGTGGCAAGAAAGGTCTCTGTGACAGTTCATCAAAATTACTCCCTGTGATGTCTATTTTACTTAAGTATGCCTACGCTTAAAGTTTTCATATTCCAGCAATTAATGAACATATGTGAATAAAACTGTGTAAACTGAAAAAGCTGCTAAGGTTCTTCAGTTTTTATACACTCCAATCCCCCAAAAGACCTGTAAAATGTTTAACTGTTTACTTATTCTCAAGAAAAGCTCCCCACCCTTTTTTCTATCATTACTATTTCTGTGTAAGTACAAGCTAGGTAGGAAAGCTGAAGTTAACTAGAAGCTGGTGCAATTCCATGGCAGAACACTTCTCTGTCATACACAAGGCCTTGGGTTCAATCCCTAGCATTGTACAAACAAAAACAAACCCCTGTAAACAAATGCTTTTGTTCATAAGCAACACTTCTGGTCCCCACACAGACCACCTCTACCCTCAAAGCAATGAGGCTCGCTATGTTTGCTCATTAGGTCACTTGTCTCTCGTTTACTGTCTTCTGTGAACATCTGACATTATAACCTATAGGTTATAATGTATACATGATGTATACATCATGCCAATCAGTTACAGAAACAAATTCAAAGTTAAAGAAAATGTACTAGAAAATTGCTTGAAATCATAGTCTCAAGTAAATTAGCTCAATTAATAACTGAAAAAGAAAATCAATAAAGATGACATCATAGTGGAAAGAGACATTTTCAGGCCAACCAGATGGCTCAGCAGGTAAAAACCACTCACCACCAAACCTGACAAGCAGATTCAATCCAGGGAACTTGTGGTACAAGAAGAGAATGGACTCTTCAGAATATATACACACACACACACACACAAATACATAAATATAATTTAAAAAATTTTGACAACAAACGATTACAGAAAGTTCTTGGGGAAACTGAAGAAATCTCACACATTCTCTAATAATGACCATCATAATTATATTGCTAAAGTGAAAAGTGATAGCATTTGCCTTATATGCTGACTTAGAATCCAAAGCAGAAGATGCAACCTCATTGTGAAAATGGTACACAATAAGACACAATTTAAAATACTACCTTCTATTTATTCACTACATGAAATATAAGAGATTAAAGATCTGAAAAGAAGAAAAATCACATTCCACATTGTAGTTAAAAGCAAAAACTTCCTGTTGTATATACTAATTACTAGTGCATTAGTAAGACAGATCTCAGAAGGAGACTATTTGCAAACATAGAAGACTTTGAGAAACTTGGAAGAGACAATGAAAGCCAGACTGATGAACTGCAATAACCTATCTACCCTCCTTCTGTGGGCAGTCTATGAAGCTTTTACTAACGTGCCCAACAATTAACTGACTCACCAGAACACTAGATTTCACAGACCATTCTAACTTTCAATTGAGCTTCTGACAGAAAGCAACTTTTGTGATAAATGAACCTCCAGAGAAGATTCTAATAAAACTTACCATTGTGTATTGCATTCAGCAACTCTGAGAAAGCTTTTAAGTAAGGAAAAAAGGACGTCAGGTTAAGATCATTCTCAAACACACAAAAGAAATACATAGGCATAGACTCAATCAGTTTAACAAAATCTCAGTATTTTTTTTTGGCTGAATTATTAAAACTGAAAGCTTTATTCATTTTTCCATAGCATAACTCCCTAAATAGTATATTCCATTTACTATCATATTGCCTAGTAAACCGAGATAATATGTTAGGTGTACTGTCACAAGGGTGACACTTTCTTTAGTATAATATATTTTTGAGAATTCCTTTAAAAAAGACATCTACATAGTATCTCCATTCATTTACATTGTATTTTGCCAAACATGAGGATTACAGGATGTAATAGTCAGCCTTAAAGCACAATCAACAAATTATAAAACAAAATTTCATTACATCTTCTAACCCTACCAAATGTTTATTTTCACTTTTTAATCTTCAGTATAAGTTTCAACACATACAGAAACATAAAGCTACCTAATGCTAATATACAAATACTGAAAACATATTAACATTAAGGCTAATGGCACCCAAATACTGAAAATAACATGTCACCAAGGGCAGAGGTCACACTTCCGCAACATAAGAACTATAGTAAAAGACCAATAATAATTAAAGTTTGCAATATTTGACTATAATACAGATCCTGAACACAAGACAAAGTACACAAAGGCATCTTCTTAAGAGAAAAAAAAAATCTACACAATAAAAACCTAACGCATTTTGGAAAATGAAATTTAGACCTTCAAAGATGGTATAATGTATTATAAAAGGCACCAAATTAAAAGTCAGAAAGCCCAGATTACTAACCCAGTTGGACAACTTACTAGTTGTTGGACAAGCTCCATCATGCCGATACTGCATGGAAATTTCTGTGGATAAGGGGGAAAGGGGAATTAGCAAAGAAACTGCTAGTGACTTAAGGACAGAAAAAGAAACAGGCCAGAAAAAGGGGGGAAAATCATGACAAAGTCCATTTGAGAAGACAAAACAGACCTGCAAGAACAAAAATTATAAGCTAGTATTTGGTATATTAGGGGTAGGAAAATTAAACCTAATTCTCACAAATATCAACGGGCTAGTCCAAGAATACACATGTAATATGTACAAAGAGTAAGAAAAAGACATAAGGCTTACATATCAATGTTCATAACAAGTATCTAAGAAGGAATGGCTTTGTTATGCCAGCTTGACATAAACGCCTGTCTGTGGAGTTGTCTTAAATAATGTGGGAAGACCCAGCTCACTTTGAATAGCACAATTTCCTAGACAAGGAGTCCTGAAATGTGTGTGAGGTGGAGAAACCAATGAAACACAAGCACCAAGTATTCATTCAATTCTCTCTGCTCTGACTGGTGATCAAAAGTTCCATCTTAACTTCCCCACAGAGCCAAATCTGTAACATGGAACTGTAAGCTGAAATAAGCGCCTCTGCTTTTTGTCAGGCATGATATAAAGAACTATTTAGCAAGAAATCTTTAATCACTGATCACTGGGAATCTTTTATTTTGGTAGAAACTAAAAGTGAGGGGTGGACCTCACTCCTGAGTGTCTGCTCATTTCAAGAACTTGACTCTATGACTTTATTACCCAAAATGTCTTCCCACAATCTGCTTTTTAGCATTTATCACCACTACAGAATTCCAGCACTGAAACAATTCCAAATCTGTTTTACAAATGCTATGTCAGTATTATAGTAATAATTTGATTTCAGGCTTCTGATTTTAAAGCCAGGGAGCTATACATTTAGAAAAGAACACAACATGCTCTAGCAAACAATGCTAAACTATCAACCTTTAGGTGTGGATGCACCATGCCATGCATATGTGAGGAGGTAGGACAATTTTGTGGAGTTCTCTTCACCCACCTTTACTTGAGTGCCAGGATCAAACACAGGTTACCAGGCATGCATGACAAGTGTCTTTACCTGCTAAGTGATCTCGCCTGTCTTCTTTTTCTTTTTAATTCATGTGTGTGTATGATGTGTATAAGCATGTTTGTGTGTGCTTGGGCACAGGCACACATGTGAAGGTCAGGGAATAACCTTCCTTCATGTTTTCAGGGTCTCCAATTTTCCACTACTGTGTATTCAACAGGCTATCTGGCCTGAGAATTTCTGGGAATTCCTAGTTTTCCTCTCACCCTGCCAAAGGTGGACTGGAATTAGAGATGCATGCGTCTTTACTTGGCATTATAGGTATCTGAACTCTGTTCCTTATGGTTGCCAAGTAAATACTTGATCCACTGAGCAGATCTTCTATACAGCATGATAAATACAAGTCCATATGTGGTGAAGATACAGAAGAAAAGTACAAGTTTTGAATGTTCTAAGTACTAATATTCAATGTTTCAAAAGATCAGGTACCAGAGTTGGAGAGATGGCTCAGTGGTTAAGAACACTTACTGTTCTTACAGAGAGCATCTGAATTCAGTTTCCAAACACTAACATGGCAGCTCACAACTGTGTGTAACTGCAGTTCCAGGGCACCTAATGCTCTCTGTGGGCACAAGTATGCATGTGGTATACACATATACACATACATACATACATACACACACACACACACACACACACACAAACATACAGACAAAACACTGACACATGTAAAATGAAAAAGCTGGGGGGTGGGGAACACAGCTACCTAAGTGCTCATAACCTAAAAGTTAATTTACAGAAAATAATGAATCAGAATCTTAGCATTCAGATGGACGTGGTAGTACATCCCAGCATTCAAGCAGCTGAGACAGGAGGATCTCAAATTCCAAGAGAGTCTTGACTAAGACAAATAAAATAACAATACTAACAACAACAACAATTCTTCTGCCTGGATTGAACCAGAGTACCTGCAGTGTTCTTCAGAAACTCAAACATAAGGCAGTACTGTTACTATAGTCTGAATGAGGCAATTCTTTTCTCTAATCCAGAATGTCCTATTTCTTCACCCTGGCCCTCGCCCTTGCCCTCAATAAGCCCACCCAGCCCCAATCTATCCAACCATTGTTACCTCCAACTGGTACACAAACACAGGCTTCTTCTTTCTATTAGGGTTTATCCCTTAAATATGTATTTACTTCCTTTTCTACAAATATTGTTGGGACTACTTTTTCTTCTTACTCCGAAGTACAACTTCATCTCTCTCTAGTCTTTTCCAACTTGATACAAAATTTTACAATGAAATGATTTGTATTACAGCCTAACTGTAAGCACTTTAAGGGCATATACATTTACACAGGATACTATCCCCCCCCCCCAATAAAATAAACTCAGTGCTTACTACTGTGTTAACTCCCCATTTAAAAGGCAATGTTTCATGTTAGGTTAAAAGCGCTGTGCTGGGCAGTGAAGATATAGTGACAGGACATGGCAAACAGCCCCTAACCTTACTGAGCTAGTGTTGACAGTTGATCATGTCTAACCAGTGCTTCCACAGATCACATTCACCATTAGTAATTATCAACCTGTCATTTAAAACAAACAAAAACAACTTTTGACACTGAGTCTCAACTGTATAGCCTTTAACTGACCTGGAACTTCCTGTGCAGACAAGGCTGGCCTTGAACACAGAGGTCCTCCACCTGCCTCCACCTCCCTAGTCCTGGAATTTAGGTCATGTGCCACCATACCTGGATTCTTCTTACTTCATTACTTGTTGGAGGGGCAGAGGGATGACCATTTTTTGTTTTTGTTTTTTTCTTTTGGGGGGGGGGGGGGTGAGACAGGGTTTCTCTTTGTAGCCCTGGCTGTCCTGGAACTCCCTCTGTAGACCAGGCTGGCCTCAAACTCAGAGATTCACCTGCCTCTGCCCCAAGTGCTGGGATTAAAGGTATTCATCACTACCAAACAGCGATGACTTTTACAGTTAATAAATGATTTCTGAATTTAAAACTTAGCTCAGAGAAAAAATTAATTTTTATATCAGGATGGTATTATTATTGAAAGTTATATTATTTGTTTAAATCTGCTCATGCAATCCACTGCTTAAGAATGACTGACATTATATTATCTGCAGAATTTTATAACAAAATTGTTCTCAAATCAGGAATTCAGTTTCAGCACTTAAAGCTATGATATCTGTATGTGTTGATTTCTTGTCCTAGATAATAAGCAATCATATTTAATGCGTCTCAAGTGCCTAACACAATGAGAGATACACACACCAAGCACTCAGCAGCAGTTGTCAATTCCTAACAGTACTGTTAGAAAGGTGTAATCCTAAACGCATACAGCAGTTAGCCAAGCTTCATCAGTAAGAAAGCACTCTGATCGAGTTACAAAACTTTTATTAGAAATGCATAATAAAATGGCCAGGCGGTGGTGGTGCACACCTTTAGTCCCAGCACTTGGGAGGAAGGGGTAGGTAGATCCCTGTGAGTTCCAGGACAGGCTCCAAAGCTACATAGAGAAACCCTGTCTCAAAAACCAAAGAAATGTGTAACATTAATTAACTCAGCATTAAGTAAAATAATTTTATTTTATAATTTAAGTTATTTTAATACATATTTAGTTGTTTTAACACAACTTAAGATTTATTTGCATTATTAAAATTTATTTATTTATTTGAAATTATACTATCTTCTAATGGGAATTCCTTCTAGATAAATACATTTATATAATAGTGAGGAAGAAGAAATATAAATTAAGCTTTTTACTGCAACTAATGTACCACAAATTCTGCTCAATGAAAGGAACTCTACTTTTCATGACTAAAATCTCCCTAAATCTGTAACAGATTAAAAAAAAAAATAATTTGAGAGCAGTAAATTAGTTATTTTTTAATTCCATTAATCTAAAGACATTAATCTAATGTTTCAAAGAACCATTCAAATGTAACTTTGAAATTCAAACATTTTCCGGCTATGTTTCAAAATTACAGGACTCAGTGGAGACCATCACAAAAACAAATTTAAGGTTTATGTTCTCAGTAAGATACTCATTTAATTATTGTAAGTTTTGCTAAAAATAGTATGAACCAAATTTTTATGAGTAAATTTATTTAAATTTGTTTTTTGTAGCAAAAGGTTAAGGCTGACTGTTAGGTCCTTATGGTCTCAAGGGAAAGATAAATAAAAATATTTATTCAAATGTGCAATATATTTAAATCTTTTTAATGAACTTTGTTCCCACTGTAATTTATTTTTTCCCACTTCCTGAAACAATGGTTCTGAACCAGAGGCAATTTTGGCCTCCTGGGACATTTAACAATGTCTGGAGACATTTTCATTATGAATGAAGTGCTACTAACAACTACTGAGAAGGGGCTAGGGATTCCAGTCAACATCCTAGAAAAGAGTGAACACAAACAATATCCCACCCAACATGTCAGTAACACCAAGACTGAGTCCACAACCTCCCAAGAGTGTGAGCAAAGTAACAATTCTACGAATTCCACTAAATTGGGGGCTGTTTGCAAACCACAACAGGTACCAAAGTGGATCTATTAGAAACAAACAACTCCAGGCTGGAGGGGACAACGTTACCCTCAAAACCTCAGTTTTACCAGCTCTGGAACAGGGACATCAATAGCCCTTTACAAAACTACTGCTAACTGAGATCTAAATAACAATGCACTTAGTGAGACCCACAGATAACACAGTTAATGTTTTCATATAGGACTATGTACATATGCTTCTTTGTTGGAACAGTCAGTGCTTTTTCTGCTTACTGAAGTTAATACATAAACCATTCAAAAATTCTTCTATTTTGTATTTATAAAATATACAATATGAAAACATAAAAAACTTTTTTCACCTAACTGTCTTTATTTTATACACCATTTCTTCCTTCTCTCATTATGAGCTAATAAAACTGACATTATCCATAATAGTATATCTTAGCTGAAATCTCATTTCAATCATCAAAAATCCAAAGCTAGCAGAGGGATGAAGTTTACAGTCAAGATTTATTGAAAGCCATTTATCTCATATTCAAGGGGGAAAAACAATAGACAAATGAAACTTGAAACTGTTAAGTGTAGTGGGTAGCCATTCCAGCTTTGATCTGGAAGTTCCAACCCCCATTGAGACTTTGGCAACTGTCACGATTTCACCAATACTTAAGGGTTGGTGCTGAAGAGATGGTTTGGTAGTTAAATAGCATTTGTTGTTTTTCCAGAGGACCTGGGTTCAATTCCCAACAACTATGCCCAACAGCTCATAATAGCCTGTTTAACCTCAACTCCAAGAGATACAGTGCCCTCATCTGTTCTGACTTCCATAGGTGCCCACACATGTGCCATCAAATAGATAAGACATAAATGAAAATAATAATAAATCTTTAAAAAAAAGAAAAAACCTGAGGCAGGATATAGTGGTGCACACCGTTAGTCCCAGCACAGATAGGGCAGAGGCAAGCAGATATCTGTGAGTTTCAACATTCTGAGTACTAAGACAGTCAGAGCTACATAGTTAGACCCTGCAAGAGACCCAGGTATAGTTTCAGCACCTACACAGCAACTTGCAATCATCTTTAATTCCACTTCCAGGGGATCCTACGCATACTTTTGGGCTCAGAGAGCACCAGGCACTAACATGTACCCAGACACACAAACACTCATAACAGAAATCATTAAAATGAATAAAGCATGCACTTCCAGTACTTTTTAAAGACTTAAAATTATTTGTAACACAAATTACAGGTTACACAGAAGTATACCAGTGACATGAGTACTACAAATAAATTCATTTGTACTGTCATAAAAATGATGACAGAAGAGGCATGGTGGCGCACGCACACTTGTACTCTCAGCACCAAGAAGACACAGACAACTGACTCATGGCCAATTTCAGGCTTGTCTGTGCTAGACAGTCACTTCTAGACAAGACTGGGACAGTATTTCAAAGTTAAAAATAAGAGCAAACCCTGGGACCACTTTCAAATCTATGCAATCAACTCTAATTCCAGATAAAAATAATGGCAAAAATCACTAAATGCATTTAAAACAAATTTTAAAACAATTCAGATATCATTTGACATGAAAAGCAACTGACAAATTCTAACTTTAAGTTATTTATCACTAATTTTAAAAAAGTCCCAAACAGAGTAATTCACATTATTTGTGTGCAATTACAGAGAAAGTGAAAATTAAAAATGAAGTTTAGCAAAAGAGCTCAAAATAAGAAGACACTAAAAGCTAGTAGAGAAGTGTTCACATCTTAGGTGTGAACTCTGGTTTAGTGTTAAACATAATATGCAGGGGGAGCAAAAACACAACTGGGAAATAAATATAGATGACTAATAAGCTGTTTAATTTTCATTCAACTAAATAACACATGAAATTAATGACAAACATTTCAGCACCAAATACTTTTCCCAGGATTGTAAGATACTTTCCCTTTTCTCATTAGGAAATGAAGAAACTAGTGAGATGGCTCAGGAGGTTAAAAAAAAGTTTGCCACCAAGACAGTTGACCTGAGACCCACACCGTGGAAGGGAGGGAGGGAGGGAGGGAGGGAGGGGAGAATCAACTGCTGCAAGCTATGCTCTGACCTCCATCCCCATGCTGTGGTCATGCCATCGCCTCCTGAAAAAACTGGCCAGCCATGCTAACAGACAACTGCCATTCTAGCACTTGGAAGGCTGATCCATGATCAAAAGTCTGAGGCCAGCCTTTACAGAGTGATCCAGGACAGTTTAGGCTATTTAAACAGCCCCAGCCTTCAAAAAAATAAAATAAATTTAAAAAAAATAAAAAATTAAGAAATGCCATTTTAATTAAATGTAGCCTGGCAATTCAAAGTATACCATAGCAACTGTTCATAACTTTTTGACTAGGGAAAGAAAGGGTAGTGGGGGATGGAGGGAGAACAAGGCACAAATCCCTACCTGAACCCACTGGAGAGGAGCCAACACTAAGACTCTGCAAACTTCCATTCCTGAGCAGTGTAGGAGATTTCTGAAGACTAGAGCTTGTTACACTTCCTGCAGCTGATGCTACAGATGATGTTGGTGAAGCTGAAGAAACTGAGAGGTGAGAAACATTCTCTTGATTTTTGTTTCCTTTGGGTCGGCCAGGCCCATGTTTACTTTGTTTATTTCCTTTTCGTTTCTTTTCCTTTACAGCTTCTTCTTCTATACCAGAGGTCTGAGCCCGCTTATATCCTGCTGTAGGGAGGCTGGAACTTCCCACATCTCCAGGTGAACCTTCAAAGCTTTTAGGCTGTGAAATGACAGTTGAGGTCACAGGGTGACCAACTAAAGAACTAAAACTATTTACTCCCCCTTCCTGGCTTCCCGACTCTCCTTTATGTACATCTTTGGTTGATGATGACTGCTGGGAGTGAGTATAACTGTCACTGCGCAGATCTGAGTCTGTAAAGCTTAAGAAGTCCTGGGGGGACTGCACTGAACTTCCAGAAGACGATTTTACACTGCCTGGAGTTCCTGAGAAACTGCCTGCAGCAAAACACAAACAAAAAAACCAAAGTGGAGGAGGAAGAAAACTTGGACACAAAATTCCTCTAAGCATCAGGCAAAATACGATTATCAAAAAGTAAATTATAAAAAATAGGTCATCACTATGTAACTAAGCATGATACAATAAAGGTTACTATTGAAATCAATTTTATCTCTAAATTATCTTTCAAACACTTGTCAAGGTAGTAAGTATCACACACTCACTCTTGAATTGTACTGTATTACTAAGACACAAGCTATGCCTTATTTAACATAACTTTTTTTTTTGGTTTTTAGTTTTTCATGACAGGGTTTCTCTGTGAAACAGTCCTGGCTGTCCTGGAACTCACTCTGCAGACCAAGCTGACCTCAAACTCAAGAGTTCCACCTGCCTCTACCTCCTAAGTACTGGGATTAAAGGCATGCGCCACAACAGCCCATTAGGAACGGTCTTTTGTTCATAATGAATACTGTCTTACTGATTTTAAAAAAGAAATTATCATGTGGAGAGATTGCTCAGTGGTTAAGAGCACTTGTTCCTCTTGCACAGTACCCAAGTTTGGCTCCCAGCACCCATATGGTGGCTTACAACCACCTCTAACTCCAGTTTCAAGGGATCTTACGCCCCCCTGACTTCTTTAGGCACACACACGGTACACAGACACACACAGACAAAACATTCATACACATAAAGTAAGTCAATCAAAAATAGTGAAAAATCATGCAAGAATAGGTAGTTCTTCTATGCCTCTTTTCCAACTGCTTATTCTCTCCTCACTCTAGTCAAAAACCACTTAGCAGCCCCTGTCATGATGCAGTGTAAGAACCTCAAAAGCCCTTGTTCGCCTGGTAAGGAAAGTGCCCTAGGAGGAAAGTTTCCATCATCCCTATTCCCAAAACTCTTTCCTTGTTTGCCAAATGACATAGGCAACTACAAAGACTCAGCTCTGACCTCAACTGTTTCATAATGAAACTAAAGTATAGGGTTGCACAGCACAGAGAATACCCTGGTCTCAACACCCCCCCCCCCCCAAATATTTTAAAAAAAAAAAAATCAAATACTTTTAACTATTTGGTATATTTAAATTTTCTAAAATTCACAGGGTACAGTTAATTTAAAAAGCAAAACAAAACAAAAACCAAGGCCATCTTAAGTACCTTATCTTCCTATTTCAACCTTTTATTGATTACCTCAGTTACATAATTGTAACGTATTTTCTATCTTCAATATTACAAAGTTCCAAAAGTATAGGAGCTACCTCTTCAAAATGGATTAGCACTTCATACAAATAAAAACTTAAGAATAAAGCAGGCCTGGTGACCCACACCTATAATTCCTGCACTTGGAAGACTGAAGTAGGAAGATCAGAACCACATAGGTTATTAAAGGCCAGGCTGGGCTACATCTCAAAAACTCAGACTTAAATAAAAGAATTTTAACAAGATTAATTGACTTCTACTAATACAACATTCATTCAAATTGTGAATGAAGTTACATTTAAGGTTAATTAAGGTTTGGCTAATTTTCAAACTGGTATAAAAGTAACAGTGTAGGGCTGGAGAGATGGCTCAATGGTTAAGAAGACTGACTGCTCTTCCAGAGGACTGGGGTTCAACTCCCAGCACCCACATGGCAGCTCACAACTGTAACTCCAGTTCCAGGGGACCGACACCCATGGCAAAACACTAATGCACATAAAATAAAGATGAATAATTAAAAATTTTTAAAAAAAGTAACAGTGTAATTTTTATTTAAATAAAAGTGACTTTGGCATTTTGTTTTATCTATGCTTAATGAACTTTTTGTTCAAAAAGGATCATATGCATGTACATATACTATATATCTGTAGCTCCAAATTATTACTAGTATGAAATATATTAATATGTTTTTAATGAAAAGTCAAAAGGTTAGCAATCTACTATTTGCATATTACTGCAAGATTTTGGATTGAAGAGGATCCAATGCTTCAACAAAGGTAAGCAGCAGTCTTCACTCACTTCTGGGGACAACAGAAACAAGTCAACAGCTACTTAACTATTGTGTTTTTCAATGTATCTGTGTTCACATTTAAAATTACATAGAAAGCAATCATTTAAGTGTACACATTTTAAAATTTAGCAGTGTTCCTATTTTCCATAAACTGGGTTGTCATAAAACTACACATGCCCAGTTAATACTGAATTTCAGTCTAACACCAAACAGTATTTGGGAAACACACTAAAATACTACTTGCTGTTTATGTGAAATTCAAACATTCAGGGAATCCTGTTAATATAGCAGCCTGAGCATAGAACATAAGCTGTTGAGTAAAAGTCTACTTTTAACTTCAAGCTTTGTAATAAATGCACTGCTTATAATATCACTAAGACCTACTTGGCTTCCATAAAACTTGCTTAGTTCTCATTTATCTACTAAAACATAAAATGTTATTAGGAAAAGTAAACAAAAACAGATTATAGAAAGAGACTTCTTCTCTTTGAAATCAAACTACATCTGTTTTTCTCCCCAATCTTAATCACTATTCTACAGGCATTTAAACATTAACATTACTGTTTTAAAAACATAAATGATTAGATATAAGAGAGCAAAAGTTCTAGAAACATTTTAAAATAAAACACTACTTTTAGAAGTAATCCCACACTACCAACTCATTACATAATATCTAGAATAATCCTTAGTTTTAAGTTTAAAAAAATGAATTCTTTTACAAAACATTAACAGTCATTGACTACTATCAAATTAAGTATTTTAACTAAAATATAATACCTTGTGGAAAGGGGCTAGATGCTGACACAGTTGTTCCTGGATTTCTTCCACCACCAGGCTTCCTTCCCCTTTGACCTGAGCTGTGAGCTGAAGATTTCTTCCCTTTTCCCTCTGACGCTCTAGCCTCTGAAACATCTTTTCCACTAGAGGTATGTGCAGAGACTTCCTGGAAATTTGCATTTGTAAATCTTGCTGCAGTGTCTTCCAAACGCTTCAATGATCCAGATATAGAGTTGTTGCTAGTGCTTGTATAAGTCTAACATTTTGATTTAAAAAAAAAAAAAGAAAGAAAGAAAGCAAAAGGAAAAAAGAACTAATTATATTTGGCTAAAAAAAAAAAACAGTATGAATAAGCACTTAACTCATGCAAACATTTCCACTCTAAAAAAGTCAGGCAGTCTACCAAAGAAAATCATACAAAACCAATTAGCATAAAATCTACTTGATCTTTCTCGCTGCTGTTTTGCCATCTTCAGATCAACCCCAGGGCCGTTCTTTCACCTGTTAGGCTTCCAGCACTGGCTTCCTATATACCCCACCCTATCACTACTTTAACAAAGCATCTATAATTGATAAGATGACTGACTGAAGGTCAGACTACAGTAAATAGCAATTCATCTTAATACACTCTAAAAAAATACACAAAAATATCAAAGGTCTTCATTTCTCAAGCATTATTTTCACCAAGAACAAAGTATTGCTTAGACATAAAATTACAAGCTTTAGTGTTCAAAACAACAGTCAACAATTAAAGAGAACAAAAGTACATCATCAATCCAATAGAGGACTACACTCATTAGACTACGAGGCTCTCTCCTAGGATGTAGCAAGAATACTTCAAGAGCTCAAGGAAAGCTCTTATTCAAAGAAACAGCTCCAGTCTTTGAAACACAAATCATTTCTCTGCAATTGAAGGAAACTTATCCGATGTGCATATGACTAGAAAAAAATAAAGATTGCTTAGACAACTAGTTTCTGGGTTTGGTAATCAGTTTAAATACAATGTATGGCCAAATAATGGCAAATTGAGTGTGGATGTATATTATACCAGATGTACACTAATTAACATGATTCATGGCATCCCCCAGGAGCAAGAAACTTTTTATGCCACTATTACATTCTCAGGCGTTTAAATTCACTCACTACCTTGAACATAACTAGTAATAAGTTTTGAATAAATCTTTCTGATATACCGGCTATCAAATTTAATGTAAAAATGAAAATATTTGAAGATATACAAGTATTAATTTCTATGTAACACTTAGTATGAGAATAAACTTGAAATTGAAAAATAATGAAAATCAATTTAAAAGGACTAAAAGAAATGTTTTTAAAAAAATCAAATCTTTTGTGTGGACTAAAGGGTAAATTGTGTAACTCACCACTGGGCCACCACTGCATCCACGACAAGATTCTTCATCTTTTGTTACTGTTTTTGTTTTTATTTTTAGTTTGGTTCTTTGTTTCATCTTGGCTTTGGTTGCTCTTTTAAAATTGGTTTTGTTTAGGGGGGAGACTGCAAGGGCAGTGGGCATATTTAAGGGAACAGGGAAATAAGTAGGATCGGAACCCATGATGTGAAATCCACAAAGAATCAATAAAAAGAAAAAAGAAAAAAAAATTTCCCTGCTACACTTCTGCTAACACCCTCAAACCTTAACATCTCTCTGCCAATATAATATTTTCAACAATAAGTCCAGTATTATCTCATAAAAGCAAAACACTCAATGTTGTAACCAACTACAATCCACAAACTAGATCAAAGAAAGGCCTCAAAGTCTGGCAGGAAAAAACAAAAACAATAACAAAACCTTTTAATAAACTAATCACATTAAACTAATGAATCTTCATAGCTTACTTTAGAAACGTGACCCTCTTCCATGCTGGGCAGTCAATTTGGAAACTACCCCACCTCACTTTTCAATACTTAGTGACCCTGAGGTTCTTCACTCCTCACATAATCCTTGTATGACCCAGTGAAGCTTAAAAGTCATCTAGGAAAACAGTGGTACTCTTCACTCATGTGCCTGTTCAAGCATTACATAAAGGATGAAGAGAAACTGTACTCTACGTGGAAATGGACTACTCATTTCCACAGACAATTTAAAAACCGCTGGTCAATTTGCCCACTTACTTAACAGAATGTCCTTGTTTTTACTATAAAGTCTAAGCCTTTCCACAGAGCAGGGAGGGGGCAATTAGAGAGCAATGAGTAAACAAAATCCAGTGACAAAAATCACATTGAATAAGGTAACTGAATATTTTACTTTAAATTTTCTCTATACTTTCTAAGTTTTCAAAAGACATCAGACTTATGGGAAAAAATATTAGCTGATGACCTTACTTTTAAAATACTATACATAATGAACTGTCCCTACCTCAAAAGCTACACAGGTTTCATTCAAAGGGACCTTGACCTAACCCCCATATTTTAAGGGTATCTCAAAAGTGTGTGTTCAATCATGTGCTGCTGAGGCAATACCTCCCTCTGAGAAGGATCCCAGGATATAAAAATATCTGCTTTTCATGCCAAAGTGATAGAAAGCTGGCTAGTATATACGTGACTGGAGGCAACATAGTCTTTTTTGTTTTTAAGTGTATATGAGTGCTTTGCCTGCATGTATGTATGTGGTACACCAAGTGCAGGCTTGAGTTCAAAGAAAGGGTCAGATACCCCTGGAAATGGTTCTGAGCCATCATGTGAGTGGCTGAGAACTAACCCAGGGCCACCATGTGGGTGCTGAGAATTGAAGCCAGGTCCTCTACAAACACAACTTGTCCTCTTTTAATCACTGAACCCTGTCTCCAGCACCCCCAATCTTTTTTTAATTAACATATATTAATGTATTTTTTAAAGCTTCATTTTTATACTATTTATGTGGGTATTTTATCTATTTAACATGAACATGCAGTGCCTGCAGAGGTCAGTAGAGGGTGTCAGATCTTCTAGAACTAGAGTTACAGATGGCTATTAGCCACCGTATTTGGTACTAGGAACCAAACCTGTGTCCTCTGAAAGAGCTGCCAGTGCTCTTAACTATTGAGCCATCTCCCAGCCCCATAATACAATCTTTCTATCCTTTCCACTAGAAATAAAACTGGCTATTTGGTTGTAATGAAAATCCCTTAATTAATGCATACAAACATCGGGCTATTGTGATTTATAGGCAATTTAATGAGTAATTAATAATATGCATCCAGCTACAGTCACTAGGCTGCAATAAGATATAACACTAATATACCTACTAAGTTGCTGTAACTAGGTACAAAAACTATTTCCTACTTCAAACAAAAGTCTTAAATTTATAATGAAAGACTGTCTGTACTAGGGAATAAAAAATTACAGTTATGGCTTTATTTAAAACCTATATTTGTGTCGTACTGTTGTACAAGGCAAAGTAAGAACAACCAAGGGCTATTCCTTCAATCATGAGCAGGTGTAAAATATTGGACAAAAGTCTAACAAGAGTCACAGACTTTTCCCTAGATAAATTAGAGAACCCAGTATAGAAACTATCCTGATTCAAGACACAGGAATGGAGACTTGAGTTTGAACCTTGGAAGCCAGTGGAAAGATAAAGAACCTACTCCCAAAGTTTTCCTCTGACTTCAAGGCCAGACTGCTCTACATAGTGAGTTCCAGAACAGTCAGGGCTATGTAGAGAGCATGTCTCACAATCCTACCCCCCAAAAAAGTTGCTCTCTGACCTCTACAAACAGCATATAATGCATGCACGCACACAAGCACACACACACACACAAATTCTGAGAAAAGAAAATAGCAGAAAAGCTACAAAGTAGGAATGGACTCGTATATGTTATGTAACTATTTCTGGCAAAGTGCCGTTTTGTGCTATTGTTTTTATAAATATGGCCTTCACCAACCTGTCCATGTTTCTGGCCGGTACACCCTTGTGCCTATTTCTGTGCAGACTGTGCCTGCCTATGCCCATCTGTGTCCAGCCCAGGTCACCTGTCAAGAGTCTCACTTCCTGAAATTATGGGGTTTGTTTTTGGTTTTGTTTTTTTGTTGTTGTTATTTTGTTTTGTTTTTACTGGTCACCTAAATTGAATTTATTTATATTTTTCAGAAAACAGAATTCTTTAGTGCCCTCTGGTAAGTGTGCAGTCATACCAATAAACTGTTTTATAGTATTTTCGTACAATGTTAGGTAGTACATCTAATTGTCAGACAACTCCTGTTTCTATATTTCCTAAGACTTTTAAAGAAAATCAAAGAACTTTCATTTTTTTTTTTAATTAAGTGATTTTCTATTCGTTTTACATATCAACCACGGATTCCCCTGTCCTCCCTCCTCCCAGCCCCCAGTTTTCGGGCCCCCAAACCACCCCCCATTCCCACCTCCTCCAAGGCAAGGTCTCCCTTGGGGAGTCAGCAGAGCCTAGTACATTCAGCTGAGGCAGGTCTAGTCCCCTCCCTGCACCAAGGCTGAGCAAAGTGTCTCAGCATAGGCCCTAGGCTCCAAAAAGCTGGCCCATGCACTAAGGACACCATGGGAATAGGAAGAAACAGAGTGCTAGAGAAGTCCCCAGGAATCCAAAAAGATACCTCCACTATAGACTACTGGCAATGGTCGAGAGAGTGCCTGAGCTGACCTACTCTGGTGATCAGATGGCCAAACACCCTGTCATGATAGAACTCTCATCCAGTGACTGATGGAAGCAGATACAGAGACCCATGGCCAAGTCACAGGCAGAGAGCTCCAGGAATCCAATCAATGATGAGAGAAAGGAGGGATTATATGAGCAAGAGATATCAAGACCATGATTGGAAAAAGTACAGAGAAAACTAGCCAAACTAGTGGAAACACATGAACTGAAATTATGTTTTACCTGCATGGGGTTCCTCCCACTACCTCCAAACCCTCAGCTATTCAGAACTATCCCTCAACAATAACTAGATGAACAAACAAACAGTCAAAAAACCAAGTAAGGTTAAGGATATACACAAAACAATACAGAAGTATCAACAAATTAAAGGAAGTGACATAAAGATAGTAATTTAGAAACAAAAAAACTAAGTGATACAATTCTAATTAATATATGGGGTAGAGAAGAAATCAAACGAAAAAACAAGGTTTTCCTTAACAATTCATAAAAGAGCAAAGGTAGCATCCAAGTTAGAAGAAAAGTTAACAGAGGTAAGTTTCTTTCAGTCAGTGTCTAAGACAGCAGGAATCCTAGTTTGTACTCCAACAGAAGGAGCTTTAACGTCTTCACTCTGAATCAAATCAC